GGATTGTATGTCGGGTCAATTCCCTTCGAGGTTCGCCCCTTCGGGTTCAGTTGTGGCTCTCGCCTAGCTGAATACCTCCAACCATTCACAGTCCCTTTCAGAAGACTACCTGATATTAGCAGTTTCCGTTCCTCTAATCCTGTGATCGCGTAACAATGGGTAGAAGTCGTCGTTTTCACGCTTTTACAGGTCAATGGTCGCAGAATACGCCCAACTGGAAGACTTACGGTGTCCTTGGTTAGAGACCCACCGGCTCGTCGCTTGATGAGTATTCGGATAGTGCCGTCTACTGGGTTACTTTCTCGCCGTTCTATTAGCCTTAAAACGGTTCCGTCCACTGGGTCACCGGACAGCCGTGCAACGAGACGCAAAGCGATGTCATTTACTGAGTCACCGGATCGCCGTGCGACGAGACTTAAAGCGGTACCGTCTACTGGGTCACCGGCTCTCCGTGTGACGAGACTTATCTTTCGCTAAAAGTGAGTAATGTCCACCCCGGGCAGATTTAACTTTTGTCACTTCCACTCGATACCTCTGCAATCTATGCTCCTCGAGACTCGACAGCAGGCATAATTCATCCCACCCAGGGACTTACCTCAAAAGTGTACACGTGTCTTGGACTTGGAAAATTCTGCCCTGTATTGATTATTTTCTATTATATTCCTGATTGCAAAAGGACCCTTTAGTGGTCCTACTTTATCCCTCCAGTCATCATATACTAATGTCTAGTGGGATGGACAATTTATCATTTTGCTCTCTTGTCGAGTCTTCCCTCATCGAGTCTTCCCTTGTCAATTATTGGCTCGTCGATTCTGTGCTCGTCATGCCGGGACTCGTAGAGGCTTCTCTCGTCGCGTCTTGGCTCGTTAGGTCTTACTCGTCGATTCATCCCTCGTCGAGCCTTGATTCGTCGACTTTGATGCCCCGGCTTCTCTCGTCGGGATCACCACTTCTATAATCAAGTCAAAAGTAGGGAACACGTTCGGAAATTCCCTACACCACACCAGCCTCAGCAATTTTTCACTGTATTTGTCCAGAGAAGTAAACTCTCCATTTCTATAGGGATCAGTAGTAATAGCCACTTCGAGTGCCTGGACATGAGCCTCGAAGTAGCATGATTGTCTGGTGTCTGCCGTGCGATGCCTCTACGACGGCTGTGCAAGTAAGTTCCTCGAACTCTTTTAGTGCGGCGCTACGTGTAAACGAGTCAAATCAAGCGCCGTCTTCTTCAGTGCCTTCGAAAGAAGCGACGATGCGACCTCCAGGTCAGGAGCTAGAGCTGCGGTAGCTACCGCATGATCACCACTCATTATTTGATCAGTTCACGAATTGCCAGCGTGCGCTGATGGCTCACATTTTTAGGAGCGAAGGGCGGTGGAGCGGATTGGGCCGCTGTCGAATTGCCTTTGGGACGAATTGTGGACTTAGTCGGTTGAGGTGGGTTCTCTTTATCTGAGACCGTAGTCGTAGAGATGTTCTGGGATGTAGCCGTCGACTCCGGGGGAGGTGAACTTCTTGAACTTTCAATATTGTTGGACTGCGGATGCTTGGGTGGTTTTACATCAGGCTCCGTCGTGGGCTAGGCGGTGCCACCGGATGACGCACATCCCGCTTTTTCTTGCTCGCGTCAGGATCAAACCACTCGTTTGTCGACGGACCACTGACGCGAGTAGCGCCGCCACGAGCATACTGGCCGCTAGTGAGAGGAGACGTGGTGGGATCGCCAGATTGATCAGCACAAGGAGGTGCCTGCATAACCTTGCTTAACAGGGGGAGGCCTTGTAGCCATCCGCATTCAACTCGCCGTGGTCTCCACCAAAGTATCCGCCAGTCCATAGACATGCTGCAGGCGACCGGCAATTTCCAAGTGGTTTTTAATCAGCTCACTGACGTGAGGCGAAGCAATAGGCACACCGTTGATTTCGCCGCGATGTTGAACTCGTAAGGCGCCTTTGAGCCCGCTGCACTTGGCACTTATGTGATAAGGCGAGTACCAGAAAAAAACAGGGAACCCGTTGAAAGTGCCGAACATGGTGGAGGAAGATCTCCGTGTTCGAGGTCGCGATGTGCGTGACCAGATTGAGTTGTTCAAGACATGACAACGTGTCGAAAGTCGTCACGAAAAGATTAGAATCATCACGTCCGAGCCGTGTGAGCACCCACGAGTCACAGATGTGACCACACATCACACACCGGACGTCAAAGTAGCTTGAACCATGCTCGCCGCCACGTCATTGACCTAAACCCTGACTAGTAGAATTGGTTCCTACCGGTTAATGTAGCTGGTAGCAACAGAACAGTAATTTCGTCGCGCTCCATAGTAGCCGGATACAACAGCTGAATACGCTTACCGCAAAAAAACGTCTTGACATGCCAGCTCGCAGAAGCCGCTTGATCCGGCATAACGAATGTCAGTCGCCTCACGTCGGCGTCTTAGCTGGTCCGTTTAGACCCCTCGACCAGTTCTCGACTCATGACATCGGGCTCATCTGCCCCTCACTACGTTCCAAGATCTGGAGTAGCAACGTTTTCGCTGCAATGTGCTGAGGCATGCGCACGTACGGAGGGAAAATCACAATTATTTTCCCTTTTAGGTACGCTTCGAAAAAATCAAGCATCAAAACCGCGTAGCTCGCGGGTGCGTGCGGACCAAAACTCCGGGAGGAGAATGAGGTATAATGCCCCCTATCATCTGTGCTGTCACAGCCTCCTCTTTAAGAGGAATCATCGGACGCAAATCATCGTCCGCCTTTTCTACCCACATCCTGGTGGCTGTGCGAGCCAGTACCGCCCTGCTGCAACGCACCCGACTCTATAGCAGCGGAGTCGGATCGGTCTCACGGACCGGCCCCACTAGTTGGGTACATGGCGGTGTCTGGGCGGACGGATTTATTAGATCCCTGGCTTTTGAGTCGTCAAAGTCAGTGAGGAGAACAGCGTTCAGTTCCTGACCGGTATATCGGCGGCGTTAGGTCGGCGATTTTCGTCGCATTCCGGTCGGCGAAATCCGTTGAGTACCGATTAGCTAAAACCATCGACTTCCGGTCGGCGATACTCGACAAGTCTCGATCGGCTAAAATCGTTGAGATCTGGTTGGCGAATATCGCCGAAACCTGGGTGTTCGCCGCGTCAGCCGACCGCAGCCGAGTACGAAATTCGCTGAGCTCCCGCCTTATGTACGAGGTCCGGACCGCCTCTACCGGGTCCGTCCCCACCGACTCCGGGGCGCATGGGTGTAGCGTAACCTCTCACACCAATATACCCCCGCTCCTCGGGTCTACCCGACAGGGGGTCACCCTGCACGGGCATGCTGCCCCTACCCGGCGGAGGATCAGCAGCGCTGTGCATGATGCTGTCATCAACAGTGCAGGTAAGTTGTAGGCACCCTTCCTCGTGCCACGATTTAAAATCTGCGCACTAAGTCGCAAATATGGAAGTGTCACAAACAATAAGAGTTAGACGGGCAACCAAACCAATCCGAATTTTGCTCGCTGATCTCGAGATTGCTGACGAATTGCTATACCTACGGGCTCCTGAATGATTTTTCGTCTTTCCACATTCGCAATACATGTCGACTACCAAATTCCACGTGACTCGAGATGTTGCGAAAGTTTCAAGCATGCAGTGGATCGACAGTGTCTCCTTCTTTGCTACAATGGCTTTCTTCGTCACGTTCTACAACGATCTGAAGCTTAGCCATTTCGCGCATTTTTGCAAAGGATAAAGACAAGACTCAACTGATCGGTGTCGGTATCATTGCGGCATTGAAGTTGCACTATCACCGTTATCGTCGGTAGGATGCAGCCGAAGGTGAAGAGCGCGGGGAGATCGGCGCGATCGAAAAAAGCCGACCAACTTACGGCCATGCCTTGGTCATTAGGTACCTGGAATATAATCTAACTCGTCTGTAGCCAACAGTCGCGATCATTCGATCGATTTTGCTACATCTTCTGCCTCTTGACAGCTAGACGATCAAGATGGGATGTAGAAGATCAGGCAGGCGGAGATCGAGGGTCAAGATGGATTGAAGGAGATTGGGCACGTGAAGATTGAGGAACAGGAGCTACAACCTAAGGTGAAACAGCTACTTATCCAGAATCAGGTGTCGACTATAGATCCAGTTAATGACATCGAAGAGTTGGAAAGCACTCAGCCAGAGCTAAACGAGATCGAGGTTCAAGCAGAGATTTAGTAAGTAGGAGCACGAACAGCGTTGGACCAGCTGAGAATGTGGCGTCCGTTGCAGAAAGGTTTGTACATACCGGAAAGTTCAATGTCCGATGCGACGCTAGAGCCTTTCGTGTAGTCTTTTTGTCGTCTATAGGTTCGACAACGTCCCGCCTACACGTACGCTGTCGCTGACATGTAGCAAAGCCTCAGATCGATCCTGGCACGTAGGCGCATTAGTGTAGTACGTAGTGTGTAAAAGGCACGGCTGCGAAGGAGGCTTTGTCACCAGAGAGTAGAGATAATGTCTCTAAGTCTGCAGGTTCTGTTGCTGCTTCTTTTGTGTGAATTGCGTACTATGATCAGCAACACTGACATAGTGTTGCAACTACTACTACGGCAAAGTGTGCGGTCGAAAGAAACAGGTATGTGTTTGTGTGCTTGAGCCGGGATGAATAAAAAGACTGCGGTCACGGGTACGCGAACATACGGCACTGAAGAAGTATCCGTGCACGATTGCAAATGCCTGACACCCAATGATGATCGACCACTTGACTTTGTAAGTAGTACACAAGCGGATACGCACAAGGTCGGTGGAGTCGATGAAACGAATTGCAATTCGATTTACCAACAAGTCTTCGCGACTTGCGACTAAACTTACTTTCTACATGCATCTCACGCACTAACACGCGATGCGTTCAGCACCGCCACGCGAGTGCGCTTGATACAGGACTGAACTAGAACCTGACACGTTTGCCCTGCTCAACACACGGCGCCCGCCTGCGGTCAGCTAGTCGAGCCTCTATTCTTCAACTATCCAGCACAGCACGGACTCACACGAGCGACTGGCTCCAGTAAAACATGAGCGCGTCCTCGCGTAGCATAATAAGATTGTGTTGATACTTGGGCAGCGAATGCACGGCCTGCGAGTCGCATCCCAGCTCGTCCACGAACTGGGACGTTATCTCCTCACGCTCCTCATCAGACAAGCAGACATCCCGCAGCGGGTGGAAAACGACCTGAGTCTGAACGTCGTCATTAGATTCGCTGTATAGTCCAAGCTGAACATTGCAGACGAAGCACGACAAAGACAGCAAACATCATAATCAACTCCCCACGCAACTTGTACGATGTGACGTACCATCCGCTGGAACCGGTCGAAGGCAGGTAACCCGAGCTTCTGTTCGTGCACGTTTGTGTACATCCGAGCCAATATGTAAAACACTTGGTCTTCGCCGCAAGGAGCCTCCGCGGCACCGTCACCACCAAAACCGCCAAACCCACCAAGCAGCTGGGGCTCGCCCTTATCGTACTGGTCCAGATTGATGCCCATACTAGTCATTTCGCTGAATGCAGACGTGCCAATGACACCTCCGAAGGACGAGCCTGTGTATTCGTGTCGTCGACTGAGGATCGGGTCAACCTCTGCTGCAACGTTCTTGCCCAAATATGGCTTCTCCGAACTGTTGCCGATCAACTCCATTTGGTTGTGGAACGCGTTGCTCTCGAATAAATTGCCGCTTACTGACGTGTGTCCCTCGTTCTGCTCATTGTCCCCCGGCACCATTCCATCCGTCGCAACCTTGTTCATGAATGGAGAGATCGTCATGGAAGGTCGCTCCGTTGACGCTGTCGCATAAGCTGCTAGCGTCTTGGGCGATGCGTCTCCCGGCTTGGACGTAATATTGACAGTATTATGTTGCATGTTCAGCGCCGCCGTATCCACCACGGCACTGTTACCGTACGAGCTAGTCTTGATGCTGGAAGTCTGAGGTGCAGCAGTGAAACGTATACTCTGTTCGGCCATCTGCTGATGAGCTGCATACCCACGATGTAGCTGCATCGGATGCTGCTGACTCATGATCGTTCCTTCCATTTCAGAGCAATACATCACATTTCCATTGTCACTATCATCGCGAGCAAAGACACACTGCGGACTATGCGATACAGCAGGACCTGCCGCTAACATGTCGATGTCGTTCAGTCGTCGACAGTGGAGGCACCGATAGATCGGACGTGCACTGTTCATTGATCCATCCGGATACATCTCAAATCCACTGAGTGACCACTCCACAGATCCCGGACTATTGCCCGCACCAGATGCTGGCGTGTGCACAGGCGTATGCTGATCGTGCAACAATGGCGGCATGGGAGCGACTACGCCAGCGGCAGGATGCTGCATCAAGTGGCTACTCCAGGACAAAGCCGCTGCGGATTGCGGCAATGGGTGATGCATCATGCCGCACGCCATCGCCACGCTACTAGCAGCCACATACTTGCGAGCCCGTCGCGGATGCGTCTCGACAATCCCTCCTCCTCCTCCTCCTCCACTCCCTCCACCACCTCCATGCAACTCGTGCCCGCCCGTAGTCCCACCCACGCGATACAAAGTAGAACCAGTCGTCGTACAAGGCGTCGAGCTTGCCACGCTCCGAGGCGACACCCTCGAGCCATGCCCTCTCGACAGCGCTGCTGCTTGCGCACTCAGCTTCCTCTTGTTCCGCTTCGACCGCACTGCAATCACTGCAGTCCGCGTAGGTGCAATGTCTTGAAACATCGAGCTGCTGTCCTGTCGCTCGGGCCCAATCTCCAGCATAAACGACTGTCCCTGATGGTTCTTCGACACGTCGTCAATCCGGAACGAAATCGACACGTGGCCGCGCGTCATGTTCGGCCGCATGTCGGGAAACAGCCGTAGAATCCCTTGATTCACGACAGTGTTCCCGCTCTCGTACAAGAGCCGCACGTCCAGCGGCACCACACGGTCTTCCAGCGTCGCCCCCGGCGCGGGCAACAGCGTCAGCGCCACGATCATGCACTTCTCCCGCCCTCCTTCGTCCTTGAACCACACGTCGGGCGGCTGTGTGGTCACCTGGAGCTTCTCCTTGACCACAACCACTGGCGCCGAGCAGACCGACTCCATCGTCGAGTCGGTGCTCGACACTTCCAGACAAAAGTGACGACCGTCGCACGTGGCCGTAAACGTGCGCAACCGCATGGTCAGCACGGCGAGGCCCGTGCTCGGGTCAATGTGCGCTTTCGACGTCACGTACAGCGCGGCATCGCGCTCCTCCACGACGTCGTGCGTGTCGTAGAACCGCAGAAACACCTGCAAGTTCTTGCGCACGCTAGAAACACGCAGCAGCAGCAGTGCGATAGAAATTAGCAATAGAAATGAAACACCGAGTCCATCCCGTTGTGCGTATGGGCCTGCAATACCGATAGCGGTCGCATGAAATACCGGTAGCACTATACACTTTATGCAGGTTGTAGAACCGACAACAAATGGTAACCGGAAGCAAAAACGTACCCCGTGAGTTTACCCTGTTCGTCCACGAGCTTGACCGTGGCGCGGAAACTCACGTTCTGGTACACGTACGTAGGCGCTTGCTCGGCAAACTCGAGACTCTATGCACATCACAGAAACAGCACAAGAGAAAGTTGCACGCACTCGGTGAGACACATTGCCTTTTCCGTTCGCTATATGCAAAAGGAAAGTAAACCCATTCGCACACTCACCTGCGTCATCGACGACTGATTGGTCGATCGATCGTCACTCGGTCACTCAGTCGGTGTTTGATTAGCGTATAAGGCACGCCCGTATCTCGCTTCTCCCGTCTCCTCTATATCTCTATCTCGATTGCGGTAGCGGCGCAAGTGATGACGGTAGTACCTCTCCTCTTTCCCCAGCGTCGAGGTCGTCGTCTTGTCGTGTCGTGTCGAGAAGGCAAACGCAACGTCCTGAACGCGCCCAACGCTGAACTGGGGTCACGGCCTCCACGTCGGTAGGCCAGAGAAGGCGATTCTGGGGGGGCCCGCGCGAGCGAGCGAGTGAGGGTGCCGCGGCTGAAACGCAGACGCAGAAAGGCTCGTACTTGAGTTTACTATGTGACGAAAGAAAAAATACGTTCAGTCGTCGCATATGGTGGGGCTAGGGGCCTCGAGAGCCCTCCACGCGCGGTTTGATCGGTATTTCAGCAATTAGCGTAAAAACCAGACGCAAACAGCCGCAGGCCCAGATGGCCGAGCGTTTGCTGCAACGCACGGCTTCTAGCTCGTCTGCGCTTCGACGATCGTAGCGTTACTTCAGTCCTCGACTCGTGTCAAACGGCGCCATGTTGAGCAGTAGAGCAATTGAAAAGCGATATAAAAGCGGCCGTGGCGCTTCCACGCTCAGTTTGCCAGTCATTGGCGACGTATGGGTGCTGTAAAGTGCGGCGGACAACTCAACTCATTCGATAGTTGACGCAGCTGTGAAACCGCGTCGTTTTCGGATGGCGGCGTTCTCGGATGGCGGCGTTCTCGAACCAGCGGGGGGTTGCGACCGTTTTACATTATCGGTCGCCTTGGCGCCAACGTCGCAGACGTTTACGTGAATGGGCACCGTAGTTGGTAGACCACGTTGCAGTCAGCTGGACATGCGACATGACGTACTTAACAGGCCAATAGACAACGGAACCACACATAGAGCGCTGTGGATCTATGCGACGTTGCCGCACGATCGTAGAAAGCAGCTGCTTCATTGAACAATCTGTCTTCACATCTGGTCGCGCCAAAACTTGACGCACTGAGCGAACTGCGTACATAAGAGGATGCGAGGGACTCGTTCGGCAAGTCCATCAGGCGTGGCACGCATCGTCGATGTGTGCGAAGTGTAATAGTTGCTGTTCGTGCCTGTTGCAGGACGTTGTGGCCGTAAGCATATCACACGACCCTTTTCTTGCGTGTCTGTAACCGATCGATCACCGACACTGTGTCGTATGTCAGCAAAAAGGGTTCGAGAGTTGTCAAAGCGTTGAATTACACACAGCTAAAGACAAAATCTGCCGTGTCCTTTCGTTGACGGACAAAGCTACCGCGCACTCACGTGTGCGTACGACATCACACTATAGCGGGAGTGAACATGAAGGTGAATTCTTGGCAATGTGAGGTGCCAGCACTGGAACTTGGTCGATAGTTTGCTGACAATCGCGGGCCGAAAAGCGATGACTGCATCTTTGAATGGAATGGTGGCAAGTGGTAACGAAACTGGCGCTGATCTGCGTGGCAGCCAGTGTGCCGAAATCTGCAATGTGTTCGTCAGATGTCCTTATTGGCGATCTAGACGCTCACGGA